ATGAGTTGTAGCCCAAACTGAAGGAGAACACACTTTTGTTCTGAAGTAAGAGATCGGATGCGGTCTTCTGACGAGATGTGATTAAGTCGATCACAACCTGAACAAACAGCTGACAGAAGTGATACGTCGTATAGACACTATCTCCAATATGCACTACTTTCATTTTTTGAGAACAACCGAAAATGAAAATATCGGTAGTAGGGCTGCGTGCATACTTTGCGACAGCGTCCGCCAGCGTATACCAGCGTCCACTAGCGACCACTAACGAGCGTCCGGTAGCGCGAGCGATTAGTAAATTGTAGATATCGATCTAGTTCTGCCAGCGTGTACCAGCGTCTGTCAGCGTTCACCAGCGACGGGAAATAACACGGTATGAGGAAGTAGGAGGGTATCAAACAGCTGGATTAGGCGTCGTGAAATTGCGGTAGTGTGCAACCGCACCGTACAACTACACTACACCGTACATTAAATTGCATAATTCTGTGCTTTAGCAGTTGTGCGGTGCGGTTGCACACGCCGCAATTTCACGACGCCTAATCCAGCTGTTTGCTACCCTCCTACTTCCCCATACTCTCTACTCCGGTCGCTGGTGAACGCTGGTAGACGCTGGCAGACGCTAGATCGATATCTATACTTTCCTAGTCGCTGACGCTGCCGGACGCTCGGAACGCTAGTGGTCGCTGGTGGACGCTGGTGGACGCTGCCGCAAACTATGAAAGCAGCCTAACGAAGTGCACTTGGGCTTCGCCCACACATTTAGCAACACCCTGTTGAGTTTCAGTCTGCTCGCAAGTGCTGCAACATGTGAACGTCGGTTGGAGTTGGACTCAAACATTATCCAGTTTCTACTACGCCTTATCCTCATTCCGCGCCTTTTTAAGTGACGAAATGCCATACATGTTTGTCTGCGGACCCAATCGCCTCCCGAATGGCACAGACCCGTCCCGCAGGTGAGCACAGCGTACCACAAAGTTTACCAATTTCAACTCACTTGTCCAGCCGCTTCTATGAACTGTTTCAACCGGGGGTTTTGTAGATGATTTTCTCGGAACATAGCCATTTCCTCGTTCTCTTTTGAATCCGTATCCTCACGAGCAGTACTCTCTGATCCCCAGCCGTTGTCATCCTAAAAGTACTGTTCACCATACAGAACCTTCATAAAAGCATCGTGTATTTGTTCACGTACGTGCGGTGGATGTTGTGTCCATTTGATCTCATTCAATGGCTCCTCCGTTTGTGTTTCCTCATTCACATCATCGCTACCAGTTTGCGTAGATGACTGAATAAAGCTTGACACTTCTGCTTCATAAAATAGCGCGCAGACTCAAAGTTTTCAGCCAAGAAAAAACGACCGAATCCATGTCAAGGGAAATGGCACACTCTGCTTCACCGCGGATGCTGAGGCGTGTGGGGGGGGGTGGACTTGGCGCAGCGCTAGCCGTTCACCACCAATTGTCGAAGCGGGGAAACGACAGCAATCGATGGGAAACGGGCTGGCACTGCTACCCCACCAAGCTCAGCCTCCCTGACATGGTCCGTCATGAGCGCTGATAGGTACTGTATGTTCATGAATTGTATACCGTGCGTTTCCTCTACAACTCCCGGTATGTATGTTCAGGCTAGCCCGTGACGGGAAGGAGTGGAAGAACGATATGGCCCCTAAAAAGACCCTCATGGCAGTGTGGGTCAGGGGTTCCTTATCAAAGACACTAGAGGGCACCATTTGTTAATAGGTCGTTCTCAGAGTGACCATAAGACCTTAGAGAGTCAGGAATTCGCTTAAGGATTTTTTTTGGCGGAAGGCTGGATAGTTAAGCCCACAAGCATTTTCTCGAGATTTAAAAATATTTGCATGAATTTAGTTCATTCCACATAATTTGAACTGACCTGATTCTTGCCCGACTGGCCGAACAATTCCAGGTAAAAATCATAGTCCTTTATTGGAGGAACATCCGCTATTGTGTGAAAAACGGGCTCCAGAACTGAAAACATGTTTACATTTGGGCAAATTCAGTTTGACAATTTACCAATTTTTATTAAGTTGTACAAAGTGGTTTGAGGCATTTCGCGGCTGAATATAGAGTCACCCAACATCTTACCCATATGGAGCTGTGTACACTTCTGAATGCCAATGGTAATGCGGTAAGCCACTCGAATACATCATGAGCTCATCCAGGCTATCCAGTGCTATTACCTCTCATAATCAATAGGTGAGGTAAAAAACCAACCAATTAGTTCTCTTAG